GCTGAGGCGGCGGCGGCGGCGGCGCGGCGCGACGCGGACGCGGCCGCGGCGCGCGCGCTCGCGCTGGCCGAGCGACTCGCGCATGCGCAGCGACAGCTCGACCGCGCGCATTCCGACGCCAGGAAGATGCATGATGATGCACTGGTAAACATCTTGGTCTTTAGGATATTTGACTATGGATCAATAGGCTCACCCCCTATTACATGGGACTCATAACATAAATATTAAATATTAAAAAGTTGATGTTACATTGTATAGTAGCATTAAGTGCTGTAATGTCCACCTCTATCCTCCTCTTCGGGGATTAAAGGCGTGATGTTATGCTATCTATAAATCTTTTTTAGACAGCTTCAAAACACTGTTAGAATTTTGGGGAGAAATTGTTGGGAATGTGAAATGTTTACCTTACAGTAAATAACGACCGCAGTGAGTGGCAGTGGGTACTATCAAGTCTCAAGAAGCATCAAGTGTTCTCCACTGTGCAACGCCTGTTACGGCACATCCTTAGGGAAACCTAACCTATTTATCAAATACTGCCTTGTTATGCATATTGTATTAATTTCATCTTTTCACTAACCAAAGAACCAAAAAATTGAGATTTGTCTTTAAATACGTGTAATATTAATGTTACAGGTGTCACGAAACAACGCGAAGTCAACGATATCCGAGCTGGAGTTCCAGATAGAACAGCTGCGGCAGGAGAAGACCGCCATGCAAGGGGAGATGAAGACCTTGCAGGACAACGCAGAGGAACTGCAGATACAGGTACTTAAAGAAATGAATTTTAATTAATATAAATTAAAAAATAAAAATGCCCTTTATTCCACTAATTACAATATTTTAGATAAAACTTATTTAGATTTAAATCATTTCAAAGTAAACAAATGCTAATAATGTTATGTTCTTTCTCTTAAGCTGTTTATGTAAATCCGTTCCTTTTAACCTGTTTTTTCTACTCTGGTTTATCTTCGCTATTCATAGCGGTCGCTTCTACGGCGTAGGCCGCGCGTAAATCGCTCCACTCTTTCCTGTTGCGCGCTTTGTGCATCCAGTCTGGTCCACAACGTTGGGTAAAAATATCTCGCCATCTCTTTCTTTGCCTCCCTTGCTTTCTTTGACCGTCTAATGGAATCCATTCCGTCACCCGCTTTGTCCATCTCGTACACTCTAATCTGCACAGATGTCCTGCCCAGTTCCACTTCAGCAATCTTATTCTTTGGTTTACATCCATTAGCTTTGTTTTCCCTCGTAACGATAAAGTAGATTTAATTAATATAGAAGTATTCAAACATTTTGGATCGAATTATGTTTTAAAACAAGTGCCAATATTACGGTGCTTTAAACGGATCTTTGGGGAATCACAACGAAACTATCAGCTCCCAATTTTGTTATCTACATTGCTATGATCCAAGGAATCTTGATCTTACTTGCAAGTACTAGCTTCACTCTGTCTATCAATCTTCACTCGTCGAGTACCGTCATTATAGACACAATTATAGAACAATAGGTTGTGGTCACCGGCGACCGCTTGGTGTTTGACAGTTTAAGAATGATTTCCGTAGAATAGAAGTCATCGTGATGGTAAAAAATGACATAATTCCTGCAGGTGCAAGTAGCATCAGACGAGAAGCTAGCACTAATGAGTAGAGCGGGCGAGGCGCTGGCCAGGGTGGCGGACTTGGAGAGACAACTACAAGATGCCAGGGCGAGGAATGTACAGTTGACTAGAGATCGGGAGAGAGATGTAAGTTGGTTAAAAACCCCTTATTACTTATTTGAATTATGGGTATAATTTTCATAAGTTATTATTATTAGACCTGTAGATTTGCTTCGTAAAGATCTTGTATCAAAATCCTAACAAGCATATCTGCAAATGAAAGAGTTATTGAAATTGTCGGTTAGACGATTTAGGTTAATCAATTGTTAAGTCAATATGTAATAGTCAATAAATACGAGAGTGCTCGACTAGTTTCGGGCCGTAACCGGAGTTCACGTACAAGTCAATACTAGCTAGGCTATTCTGTAAGATGTCAATTCGAACTCTCGAAGTAAGTTCGATCGCGGTTCGCCATGGTTGTGAGAATGATCTCCACCAATGACGGGCGAGAATGCGATCGAGTTCACTTCTGACCAACTGACGATTCGAATTGACATTTTTCAGAATAGCCTAGCAGTATGAAACAAAATATATTTTATTGATTCTTTCTCTGTATATGTGGCCAACAACACCCCAAGATATAAATGGCCATATTGCGTCACTCCGAAACACGAATAGCGTTGGTTATGACGGAATATGTACCAAAGTTATCAAAGAAATATCACGATACATAGCTCCACATCTCAGTCATATTATAAATATGAGTATTTCTAACGGAATTTTCCCTGACCAATTAAAAACGTCGGTAATCATACCATTACATAAAAAGAATGATAGGCAAAATATGTCAAATTATAGGCCTATCGCATTGATACCAGTCTTTTCAAAAATATTTGAGAAAGTCATTTACAAATCATTGTATAGCTACCTTGAGAAGTCAAATATATTAGTTAAGCAACAAAAAGGATTTCGCAAACAAAAGACAATAAACATGGCAATACATGACTTGCTTCTCCCCATTTTATCAAATATGGATAGCAGAAAACCTGTATGCGCTATCTTTACGGATCTAACAAAAGCCTTTGATTATGTAGATTATTCCGTACTCTTATACAAACTAGAAAGATATGGTATCAGAGGTAATGTATTAGAACTCTTTCGGTCTTACTTGACGAATAGAAGACAATTTGTAGAAATCACACAAATATGTTCAAAAACTTGTTGCGAGAATAAATATAAATCCGAAAGCGAGATAATTAAATACGGCGTTCCTCAGGGTAGCGTGCTGGGACCCCTTCTTTTTTTGGTTTATATTAATGACCTTCCGGAACAAATAAATCACCCTATGGTGCTTTTTGCCGATGATAGTACCGTAGTCATTGAGTGTGACAATCCCAATACTTATGGAAATGAAATAAATATGACATTGAATAAAATGATATCATGGTTTGATAAAAATAATCTAAAAATAAACTTAGAAAAGACTAAAATTATGCATTTTTATCAAAGGATCCCAAACAATAATCTAAATATTAACTATTTGGGGACAACAATTGAACCGGTAACAACTATTAAATTTCTTGGTATTAATATTGACAACAATTTGACTTGGCGATCCCAGACAGACGAAGTATGTAAAAAATTAAACAAATTTACTTATGTTCTCTATAAACTATCAAAAATTGTAAACTTAGAATCCGTCCTGGCAGCCTATCACGGGTATGTTGTATCAGTACTCAGATATGGCGTAATATATTGGGGTAATTCAGTAGATAGGGAATCCGTATTTAGAGCACAAAAACGATGTGTCAGAGCGATGTGTGGCCTTAACATCAAGGAAAGCTGTCAACCGTTTTTTATTCGCCTAAAAATTCTTACCTTGCCATCGTTATACATATACGAAACTAATGTGTTTGTCAAAACTAATCTCTCACTATATAAAATAGCCACTAAAAGCTACTACAGAAAATTACGCGACAAAAATAAGTCAGAACTTGAAGTAACTCATGGAAAAACTGCGTTAATGAATAAGAGTATCCTCAGTATGGCCCAAAAAATATTTAACAAACTACCTGAGACAATAAAGACGTTAAACTTAGACAATTTCAAAAAAGAACTATTGAAAATTTTGATAAATAAGTGCTATTACTCAGTAAAGGCTTATTTGGACGACAATTCTATAATTACTGCCTCAGACAATAGCGCACAACCCCATTTGTTTTGATTTTTTGAATTTTGTTTGACATTGGCCTATATGACATGTAACTTTTTTTTGACATTTTATTTAATTAATTCTATTTTATTTGTGATGATATGTATATGCGAATTAATATCTGTTAATGTTATATTTAACGCTAAAGAATATGACACGAAAATTAATCTCTCTAGACAATTTGTTAAATCTTGTTAATATTGGCATTACTTAAGACTTATGACTTATTTGATGATCCTAATTTTATTTATGCATTAGTATTGTATGACATGTTACTTCATCGGTTTCAATTTAATTTGCAATTACAAGTGTCAATTAATTTTTGAATGATGACAATGTTAAATAATTTTAATTATATGCAATATTTGTACGCCTTTGGGCAAAACATGGAGAATCTTCCTACCTGTAACACCTCACATACCTATGTTTACAAATAAAAATATTCTGATTCTGATTCTGATTCTGATTCTAACATGCTTACTATAGTATATACATATATGTATTCTTCACACAGGAAGCAGAATGGAAACAATTCCAAAGCGACCTCCTAATGACAGTACGTGTCGCAAATGATTTCAAAACTGAAGCCCAGAGGGAGTTAGAACGGTTGGTCTCTGAGAACAAAGTAGCAAGGGACAGGATACGACTCTTGGAAGATCAGATGCATTCTCTTAAAGGTAAGTGATGTAGAGAGAAAGAGGAAGACTATGGTTTTGACGTGAATGCGTTTGAGTTTATGAATTATATTTTGGATTTGTATGATACACTTTCTAGTTGTAAATTGGTGTTCAATTAATATTTAGGGTTTTCGATTTAGGTAGCTAGTTATGAGGACTTCTTGAAAGTTATTATCCATGTCTAATGTAAAATATTTCTTCTATTTTGTAAATAATCTTTGTGACTATAATGTCTCGTAGATTTATCTCTATAAATAATTTCACTTTTATATGTAAACTTTTGGTACTCTAGTTTTGTGTTTATGCACCAAAACTGATTTAATGATAGATTATAATGAATGTTGTTTTTGCTATATTGAGAGCTGTTGAGGAGCTTTGCATGCGAATGACAGGTAGATTTGAGAGTAGTTCGGAGTTTGTTCATGATTTAGTTCTTGCTTTGTATCTTACAAACGCTTAAATAGATTTCAAGAAAAAAATAATGCAAGACCAAACATAACTATATGAAATTACAAATTAAAACAGCTTTACTGTCGAATTTTGCATGTAAATAAACAAAACAATCAAAACATTAAAATCCTTTCAGTAATTTCAGCAGAATTAACATGCATTACCATGCGCTAATTCTGTGTAAAGCTTAACTTTATAAGCATTCATTAACTAACAGTGATCGACCATCAAATGTATGTTAAACAATGTCTAATCACTATTTGATGTACCAACACAGGTATTGAGAGATCCGAATCTGTGGATAGCATATACTCAGATGACAATATATTAGATCTAAAGGAATCTGATACGTGCGAGTCTCCATCAAGCGACGACTTAAGTCCGTCTAAAGACGTATTCAAGAGCATACGCACTAGATACCTTTCGAGAGTGCACAGCGTCACCGACCCTCCAGCCAAAGACCCAAGCTTAATAGAACAAGCATTCTTCAGATCCACTAATGCTCCCGAAACGAACACCGATATGAATGATCTCTTGAAAGATAATTTCAAAATAGAAATTGAAAACGTCACTGTAGATGAGACAAATGATGACGATACTCCAAAATCTTCGACAGAAGAGTATCCGAGTAAAGTGTTAGCCGAAGCTGTCTTACCTCCTTTCAAAGATAAGGAGTTAAAAAGGCAAAATGCTGTCGACCAATGCGATACAACGGATGACAGTCATGCTCCAGCTGAACCAGAACTTGCGGAGAACCTAATCGATCTGAATTCTAGTTTTAGGTTAGTTAAATCAGATTCTAGTTATGTACCCAAACCCAAGGTGCGCACTATTTTTAGTAAAAACCTATCAGGAACGTTAAATGGCAAGCCAAAGTCCTACAGTTTGGATAGTTTGAATACTAACGAAGAGTATCAAGAAGCTTTAAATGAGGCTACTAGTGTAGATTTACTAACTGTTAATACTGAAAGTGAAACTTCTCTATTTTCGGAAAGTACTGATAGTGTCTTCCTTCCTCCAGTAGAGAAAAATAACAATAAAGTAGATTTAAAAATTGAGGCTAATAATAATGAAGTAAGTAAAGATTTAACTGTAGTTAAAGCCGAAGAAATCCTTCCATTTCCATACCCCGATGATATTAAAAAAGAACCCGTAGTTGATTTAATCGAGGCAAAAAAGGTCTTAAGAGATGTACCCATTGATGATAATGTTGAGAAACAACTGCAAATGGTCAATGAAGAATTAAAACTCACATTCAAAGCTGCAATAGAAAGAATAATTGGAAATAACAGAATGAAGAAAGCTTCAAGTCCAGACAGTTTTAAAGATGATGAAAAACAATCTTCTGAAGCTGACCTTATTACCAAAGATGAAATAGACAATTCAAATAACACTAGAAAAATATCTTTGTCTAATGTTCCTAAAGTTTTAATAAGCGATGTTGATTCAGAACCAAATGTTGAAGTTACCAAAGAGAATAACAATTTAGTTACCACTGATGTAAATACATCTAGTCTGAAAGACGAAAAAACTAATCTTGTTACTGAAACTGTTAATGATACTGTTCCTGAAGAACCTAAATCTGAAGTTCCTATAGATGATAATGTTAGTTATCACCTAAAAATAAATACTGCAGATTTGGGTGATGATGTACCAAAGATAGACACAATTCCAAATAATATTAACTCTAACAATAGGCCTGGGCCTACATTTAAGACTTTCTTAGCACCCCTCAATATAGGCAAAGGAAATGTGGCACCTACAGCGCCTATTATTATAAGTCCAGTGCTGATACAACCAGTGTTTTTCAAACCTCTTACTCCCAAAGAAGTTATAGTGGAACGCAAACAAGAAACCAAAAAGGGTACTCTTTATTACAGTGATATTGATCAGGTTGCTAATGACAGCAAAAATGAAAGTCAAATACTTGATGATAAAGGCCCTGAGGATAGCACTAAGAGAAAAGGTCTTTATCAGAAAAATACTAAAGCAAAACAATTGCCTTTCTTATCGTGGAAAACTTTCGGATCAAATGAAAGTTTAACAGAAAGTAAAAATGTAAACAAGCCTCTGGAAATATCGAAGACTCCAAATACCTTTTCGAGAACTCCCATAGTGCCTTTAGAGCCTTCAAAAACTGTTGGCGTTGTACCAATAGTTACCACGAAACCTCCAGATGTTAAAGCTACTGTTGGCAAGTTATCAAAGAGCCCGCAGTGGTTGATTGATAACAAATATTATCAACCTGTGGAGAATGTCCCATTTGTTATAAATTCGACGCCAACTGTTGTACCTAAGCCTATAGAGATTAAGAAAGAAGAAGCAGATGTAGCTCCCAGTAATCCTTTTCAGTCTCAAGAAAGGAGATTTTCTGAACAAGAGAATGTTTATGAAGAAATAGGACCAGTGATCTCAGAGGTAATAGCCAAAGATAAGAATATAGCGGATGATGAGAAGATATCAAACAAAAACCAGTCGGTTACAGATGAATTTGCTTCAGTTACCAGAGAAGAGGTGCTGAAAGTACCAAGACGTATTAAAAAGCCTAGAAAAGACGATAGGTTTACAAAATCTAAATCGCTAGATTTTTTAGATAACACAGAAGAAACAAAAGAAAGGGCGAGGGTAACCAAATCAGTAATATCACTATCGAAAGCGCCTAGCGCGAAAGATGTGCCAATAAAATCTGGATCTATTGTGGAGATAGTGCAAACTTTGGAGAAGAAACCGCCGCCATCGGACACAGCATTAGAAGTAGGTCCGAGGAAACTTTCGCTGCAGCATTCAACTACTCCGAGCATAGAACCGAACACTGGTTCATTGCCAAGGGATAAGCCATACTGGAGGACATTGGACCACAAACGGTTGTCGCACCCGATAAGATCATTAAAAGATCCCCCGCCTCGCAGACCTCTACGTAAGTTAGTGCTTTTGTGACCGGCAATCTAAACGTCCGAGTGTGAATTACATGTAAATAACTATATCAATGTATGGAAACATGATGTGTTAGTGTGTGTACCATTGGTGGTGGTGACATGGTGGTGGCTTGTGGACCATTTATTTATGTGTAAGCTTCTGAATGCTGGGGAAATAGGAATATGTAGAAAGGGTCACAAGGGCGAGGGCTATTATTAAAAACTTGATGCTATTGACACTGTAAGAGGTTGGGTAGTGTTCAGGGTAGAGCCGTATTATCCCTAAGGTAATCTACGCAAGTGCCTAGGGCGCCAGTTTACAGCAGGGTAGGGCTCTAATCTCTGGTTTAAGGGTTACTTTTTAGCCTTCAGAAGCTTAATTTGTTTCCGTATCATTTCACTTCATTGTAATAAAACTACGAATTTGAATACAAACACAATATGATTGTGACTTCAATTTTGTTGTCACGGTGATGCTTTACAGTATTTATGTCAGGTATAAGGTTGAGAATTGCATGAAAAATGGTTTTATTATCACAATGTACGCATGAGTTTTATAGTTTAATTATATTACAGCACTGGGGATCGTATGGTGTTGGATTATTTTATATTTCCAAAGAGAATAGATCGCTCCCCAGTATTTTATTTTTCTCGGAGAGCAACACAAATTCTTATTCTGCAGTGTTCTAAAGCCTTACATGAAACTACAAGTTTCTGATCATGTTAAAGCCTGATTTCTTGTCCACAGAACAAAACCTTGATACCAAGACATGCAAATATGATTAAAAATACTCCCAAAATGACTTAGTAGGTATAACAATAGTGTTCTGACCGTACCTTTCACTTCAGCTATACCACCACGCACTGAGGAGACGCCCCCGCCACCGCCGCTGTTGACCAGCGCGTCCCTGCAAGATATTATGGCAACTGCTGCTTCGCACAGGAGGACTAAAGGTGAGACTATAATCTTCAATATGAAAACTGACTTCGAACTTATACTCATTGTCTCGTTTATTGAACCTACATTTAAATAATTCTTTTATAAACCGACTTCAACCCCCTATTTTTAGGTCGATTAATTAATATACTAAAGCATTCTCTTAAGTGTAACAAACACTTTTCTGCATCGCAACCGCATCTAAATCGATTCAGCCAATTGCGAGATAATTGCGCACAAACATACATACATACAGATCAAATTGAGAACCTCCTTTAAGTCGGTTAAAAAGCTCTAGAATGACTTGTAATAGGATTTTACGAAAGAGTTTCTTAACAAATTTTTTTTTATGTGTTACTAACGCGCAATCGAGTATTTTGATTATATTGGGTATAAAAAATTTACACTTTTTTTTTAATTTACAAAAATTCACATTTTTCATATAAAGAGGGAGAAGAAGAGAAAGCAGGTCTTAATTAGCAAAAATCTTTAATTTCAGGTGTAAGTCGCCAAGATTCCAGACTGTCAGTGAAATCTCTTATCGAGAGTATAGAAAATGCGGCGAAGGCAGCCAAGCAGTCGCCTGCAACCACCCCTGTAGGAGAGTGGCCTCAGGTAAGAAGTGACAAAGAGTTTTATGGGATATTTTGAGGCTAGTCATCATTCTTATCATCACATCAGGCACACGACAACCTTCAAGATAACAAGCTAATTCCTTTTTAAAAGGCCGGCAATGCACCTGTGTATCCTCTGGTATTGCTGGTCCATGGGCAGCGCAGGTCCATTATCATCAAGTGATACGTTTGCTCATTTGCCTCCTATTCCGTATAAAACGTCATCCACTGCTGAACATACGCGTCCCCAATACGGTGTTTGACAACATTCAAAATACTCTACAAAATATAGATATTTTACGAGACAATAGTCTAAAGAATACCACTTCTACTTTATTTTAACAAAATAATGTATATTATTTACATATTTCACAAAATAAAAATGAAGTTTTTTTAAATAATTTCACGTGAATCGAAACGCTCTGTGATTGGTGGTAACACTCGTGACGTCACACGCCAGCGAACAGGTGTTTTGCGCTATTGATTGTCGTTGGAGTTTACTGTGTTTTGGCTGTAATTTCTATTTGTAAACTATTTTCGAAGAATTACTTGTTACTACTTGCTACTACGGACATTGTTTATAACTAGTGTTATTAATATTAGTTTACCATACTAAAAATGGACGCAAATTTTGTGCAAGCCGATAGCAGCAACTTACCCAGGATAGACGCTTTAATGGTTGCACTTTTTTTTAAGAATAACGCTGATTATTATTCATCTGAACTAAAAAATGTGAAAACAGCAGTGTAAGTACCAAAGTGGAATCTATTTACATATTATTTACCCTTGTAAACTTATATGTTATATGTTGTAGAAAAAAATTCACGCGGCATATTTTAATCATTTGTTTTCATATATAATAAATGCTATTGTTGCATTATAATACCTTTATGTCGTTATATAATATTATTCCCGTATTAATTGATTTTAATAAGCCTTAATTTTTAGGTTAGGAACTTAGAGTCACATCTCTTATGTGGTTTTTGCTTTTGTTTACAGGTCTGCAAGGGAATCTTATGGTGACGACGCCATTGGCTATGTGCAAATCAAACGGGAGCAAGGAGTTTGCACAATGAAATGCAAAATATGCCCAGAGCATAAAGTTCGGTCAAAGGCATATAATGTAACAATGATTATCAATGAAGAAGATAGTGAAGTCATTAGCTGCCAGTGCCTTGACTGTGCTGCTTCAGCTGGGGGATGCAAGCATTCAGTTGCTTTCCTGATGTGGGTCCATCGTCGCACTGAGGAACCTGCATGTACTTCAGTAGAATGCTACTGGAAAAAACCTATTCTATCGCGAGTAGGGACCACTATGAAATATATCACTGTTGAGCAGATGTGTGAGAAAGCAGTGCCTCATAGACCAAGTTCATCTGAACTATATAATGAATTCATTTCTGTGGCCAAATCTAGAAATATAACCAAATGTGAATTACTTAAATATCAAAATGATTTTAAACATAAAGATGTCATGCAGTATTCATTACACTGTTTTTTGATGAATCAATCAGAGGAAACTAGTGCTGATGTTGATAAATTTGTTGAAGTGATGAAGACAAATATCACAGAGGCTGAAATAAGTGCCATAGAAGAAGCAACGAGAAATCAAGATAAAAGCAGTTTGTGGTATGAGATGCGTTATGGCCGTATCACAGCTTCAAAAGCATATCAAGTGAGTGTTTGCCGGACACCAGAAGGGTCATTGATTGCTACTGTGATGGGTGCAAAAATACCAGATACGCTAGCAATGAAAAGAGGAAGAACTTTAGAAAAGGCAGTCCGAAAGAAAGTTGCTTCCATATTGAACAAAAAAATAAGTATATGTGGACTTTACGTATGTAATGAGAGTCCCATGATTGCAGCATCTCCTGATGGCCTAACAAAGGATGCTGTTATTGAAATAAAATGCCCTACTCAGGCTAAAACCAAAGAGAACTATATAAAAAATGGAGTAATTACAGAAAAATTTAATGCACAGGTGCAATTACAAATGCATGCAACTAGCATGAAAAAATGCTATTTCTGTGTTGCAGATAGCAAATTTGAAGAGAACCAAAAGGTGGATATTCTTTTAGTGCATTATGATAGTGCTTATACCCATAATTTACTGCAAAAGCTGGTTACTTTTTGGAAAAATAATGTTTATCCAGTTTTGTACCGTAGCACTAGGGTGACAGATTAATAAATAAAAATGTTTTCTGTGCACATTGTTTTATTTATTTTTCAATAGGTATTTACATTTATTTATAAAACTTACAAATACATACACTACACTAGAAGTCCCCATGCCTTTAGTTTTTGCTACATTCATTGCTCTCAGTGAAAAGTGTGTTATGTAACATATCTATCCCAAGATGAAAGAATTTAACTAACTTTTATTTAATTTAACTAAATATGTGTACATAATAATATATAATAATACCTATGCACTGATTGTGATTTGACTTGTTTGATTAATTGTCTTGGCAAGCACTTTGAGCTGTGGTTAGTTGTTTTGGAGCCTATTCAATGCAAACAAACAACTTTCCTTCTTAAAGATAACATTCATACATCACATCCTTATCAGAGGTAGACAGAGCCAAAAGGCCACATTTAGTAAGATATTCTTTCTTAATTTTTTCTTTACTTAGTATTTCTAGGAAGATATAATATTAATATACAAAACATTACTTAATAAGAGAGTCTTGCAAATTTATTAAAGCACATGCAATAATAATTATATGGTCAATTATACGAAGTATGTTGGTGTTTATCACTGTATGTTGTTTTAGCATGTGGAATTCTCTCAAGCGCCTTATTACTCTTTCCACATGAATTCGCAGGCTTGCAATTATTTTAGTTTGTCGGACTTCAGATTTGGATAACTTTACACCAGCACTTACACTAGGCGGCCGTAATAGTTTAATGCCTTTACTATGAAGTATTTGTTCTAGGTGTTTGAAGCCTCTGTCCGCTAAGATGCAAGTTCCAGGTTGTAATTTATCTAGAAAGTCAGTGTTTTCTACTATTACAACATCACTCGTTCTGCCCCCAAAGCCTTGAGAAACATAGTTGACTAATCCATTAGGAGTGCAGGATATTAAATACTTCACAGTATTTCCCTTCTTGTACTCTGACCATGTCAGAGCCTGGTGTAGAGCCTTAGATGGTTTTTGTATATCAATTTCAAGACAATCAATAATGCAGCTGACATTGTGATAGTTATGTCTAAATGGTATTGGAAGATTCCCTATGCACTGATTGTGATTTGACTTGTTTGATTAATTGTCTTGGCAAGCACTTTGAGCTGTGGTTAGTTGTTTTGGAGCCTATTCAATGCAAACAAACAACTTTCCTTCTTAAAGATAACATTCATACATCACATCCTTATCAGAGGTAGACAGAGCCAAAAGGCCACATTTAGTAAGATATTCTTTCTTAATTTTTTCTTTACTTAGTATTTCTAGGAAGATATAATATTAATATACAAAACATTACTTAATAAGAGAGTCTTGCAAATTTATTAAAGCACATGCAATAATAATTATATGGTCAATTATACGAAGTATGTTGGTGTTTATCACTGTATGTTGTTTTAGCATGTGGAATTCTCTCAAGCGCCTTATTACTCTTTCCACATGAATTCGCAGGCTTGCAATTATTTTAGTTTGTCGGACTTCAGATTTGGATAACTTTACACCAGCACTTACACTAGGCGGCCGTAATAGTTTAATGCCTTTACTATGAAGTATTTGTTCTAGGTGTTTGAAGCCTCTGTCCGCTAAGATGCAAGTTCCAGGTTGTAATTTATCTAGAAAGTCAGTGTTTTCTACTATTACAACATCACTCGTTCTGCCCCCAAAGCCTTGAGAAACATAGTTGACTAATCCATTAGGAGTGCAGGATATTAAATACTTCACAGTATTTCCCTTCTTGTACTCTGACCATGTCAGAGCCTGGTGTAGAGCCTTAGATGGTTTTTGTATATCAATTTCAAGACAATCAATAATGCAGCTGACATTGTGATAGTTATGTCTAAATGGTATTGGAAGATTTCTCTTTGTTAAGTTACTGTTTAAATTTACAATAAATGGTCTCAAAAAGCTACTCAATATGGGTATGTTATTTAAAAATATTTTACTGGCATATGATAGTGACATTCCAAAATTATCCTCTAATTCAGAAAATGTGCTATTTAGTCTAATTTTTTTCAAGCATAGCAAAATGTGTTCTACTTTTATATTTGTGTGTTTGTGCATTAACTGAATAATAAAATAACAATGTTCAGTAATACCAACATACATTAATGGTTTTTTTTTAATTAAATGTAGGGTATTTTTGAGGCACTGCAGTTGATGAACAGTGGAATTAGTATCCGTAGTATAACTATCAGAATCTGTAATCTTTGATGATGTAGGTACAAAAGGTGAAGAATAACCACTCTTAATGCTTGAAATTTCACTATCTGATTTATCACGTTCTAAGGCAACAACTTCTTTAGCTGCTTTTACAACTCCTGACTGTAACCGTTGAAGACTGCATTGTTCATATTTAAAAGGTGAAGTGTAACTCGATGTTGTGGACACTTTGAATGGTGATGTCGAAATACTTTTATTTTTGTTTCTAGTTTGTATAGCTTTGCTCCTATAATGCACATTTGATTTCATTGACACTTGGACAGACTTTTCTACAGCAATTATAGGATCTGTACACATTCCTTTATCTGCAGTCCTTGGTAATACTGAAAATACAAACATCCAACATTTATTATACAATCTTACTGATTCAATTTGTAATGGAAAATAAAATTTAGTTGTACCATACCTTCAGGCTCAATAACGTTTTGTGGCACATAATTGTCTTCTTGAAGCATTTCGGCATGGGTTTTAGTGGCACTTAAACTTTGTAAGCATTCTGTGACGATATCATTTTTTTGTCTCTTTATGGGCAGGTCTCGAGAAGGTCCACCAGACAACCGTCTTTTGCGATCCTCTTGACAATCGAATTTTGTTGGCACAGCTTCATCTGCCAAAAGCATCTTCTGATTGAAGCCCATTTTGTACATCATGTAGTTCTTTATGGCTGTTTCCAACTGAAATTCACATTGATATCCATTAATAAATAAAGTAAACAAGTGAAGTATTCATGTTGTAAAAAGTTATTTAGACTAAGTTTGACAAGACTAATGAGTAGCTCAGGAAACAAAAATAACATTAGAAAATAGATAGGTACTATCTATTAAGTATAAAGTTAAGTGCTACTTACATTAAAGTGATCTTCACACATAAAAATATTTGTACGCATCGAGACACTGTTTGGCTCTCTTCGCGCCAACCGTAACCACAATTTACGTTTTTTGGGATTCGTAGGAACAGATAAAAATACTTTTTCCGGTGTTTTTATTGATGTATTTGTACATTGTGGCACTACACACCATTTATAAGACATAATTTCTAATAAATACTGAAATATGATTTAATAACAAGCAATACCTTTGAATATTCAAGCAAGATGGATTGTTGTACTAGCGTGTGACGTCACACGCGTCACGTGACTCGAGCCATTACAATGAAATCGTTTCTGCCGCGCTTTTTACAATTTAAATTGTAACTTCGATGTTTATCCTAAATACTGTAAATTTTGCAGTAAGATTAATTTTGTACGTATATTATATACTAAAACAACCATTTAAAACGATTTCCAAAAATTGTCAAATACCGTATTACTTCCAGATTGGCCGGTTGAAAATGACCTGCATCTATAATCAACACTGCTATGTTTAACCCGTCTGTCAAGCGTGAAGAATCAAATCCTTTGCCCCTTAAGCTGTGTTGCTCTTGATTGTATGATAAAAAGTTATGCTGTTTTGCCATAAATACATTATTTCGTACTAGCTTCTGCCCGCGACTTCTTACGCGCAATTTCGTTTCTCCCATTCCCGTAGGATTTTCAGGACTTTTTTCTGACATAAGAACCTTCTCCTCAAGGTAACAAACACAACAAAGAAAAATCAGCCAAATCGGTCTAGCCGTTCTCAAGTTATGGCGTGACAACGGGAAACGGGTTTCATTTTTATACATATAGATGATTTTAACACCAATTTCTATCCTTTCTTACCAGCAAACGACAGTTGGCGTGACAACAACTACATCAACATCAATAAAGAACGGCATAGCGGATTCCACAGCGTCAACAAATGGCATGACTGGAACCACCTTCTCAAGTAAACCACCAGCTGCACGGGGCGCTCGACCCTCACCCATTGTTAACGGTAAGTGGTCTGTGGAGGTGCTATGGTTGATTTAGGATGTGTATTGTTAATTTTAGTGTAGGTAATATTGCTGGTGATGGTAATGCATCTAATTCTGTGGTTTTCCAAAGTTTTTTCATGTATCTCCATCGCGAAGATCCCTCTACATTATCTAGGGGAGATTAGACTTTAAATCAAGTAAATTATTGGCGTTTGCATATCTTCTAATCTTTTCTAGTATGGTAAATATTACAATATATTTTCTGCTTTATTATAAAACGTGAAGTTTGAAATTCTATTAAGACATTTTGCTTTTTGGTCTAGCTTGATATGATAGCATCTGCGGCTAGAACTTGAGGATGTTTTACATGAAAATGGAATTCGATGCGTTATCATCGCTATTATAAATTTGTAGGAAATTGTTAGAACAAATAGGTACAAAACAAGGGGCATATGCATGGAAGTAATAACATAGACGATATAAATCCTAAAGATTAAAAGCAAATAAGAAAGTAATTATCAATATTTTAGCTTTATTTACTTGTTTATTATAAATATATTTATCCCAATAATTTGATCAAACGTAATAACTTAAACTTAATCTTTAAAAATAACGTAAATTCGGTCCCCGGCTACATATAATCGCATGAAAGTCGCTTATTTTTTCCAGCATGGCAGCATGAACGCGGCGCATAGCCCAACCCTTGCCTATTAACGATATGTGTTGTGTGCGACCTTTACTAATTTATTTTATTAAAAACTCTATAGTTCATTACATGATGCATGCCACTAGACTTTTATTTTTACACCCCTGTTATTTAAGAAAAAAGGTTTATCATTTATTACTTATATTCAAACTTTTTACTATTTTCGAATGGTTTCCTTTGTCTAATACAATGACTTTCTAGTATTTCTTTTTCAATTCTATTTTATTGCTTCAATTTACGTTAATTTTTTTCTATGCTTTATAAAATCTTATATAAATCTGTTGCTTATTGCGTTAGATAAAGGAACAATAAAAAATATAACAAGAATGGCGCCAAACAAATCAAGATGGAGGTTTGACATTGACATATTCCCGCCATATTTCCCCTTGTTCTAATTCTAATGGAGTCGGTTCTTGTGTGGAGTTCACTCATTGGGGGTGGTGCCACTCTGCATTGTTTGTGTCTACTCGGAAATATCCACACTGGCTGACTGTGTGGATGTTTCTATCATGTACAACCATCGACGGTTTTGTGATAAAATTTACACTTAATTTTTTTTTTATTTTTCTGTCAACTGAAATGTTGCCATTTTAATGAGAAGGTTTAGATAAAAGGTTGGCAACACCTTTCAATAAAGTTATCAATATATTTTTTCTTCAACCTTGCTTTTAATTTCCTTGATTCTTTTCTTTCTAAGACAAGAATACCCTTTAATCTGCAATTAAAATAGGATTATAATCTGCGATCTGCACTTTTATAACACTTCAAACCTGTTTTTGTAAACGCACCCACAATACATATATGAAAATTAAAGTGGGAACAAAATGAAAGACAGTAATATAATAACATATTAAGAAACTTTTAATAACAATCTTCACACCCACAAGCTACCAACAACACACAGCTTGGGTCCAATACATTAACATCACTTTCAATAATTTATCTTAGCTGGTTCTTAAAACATAGTATCAATACTCCTACCCTACGTATCACAATACCGTCGTTGCGTGCTTGCGTTGACGTTGTGCCTAACGGGGCTGGGCAGAGGCTGGCGCAGCGCAATCCAACATCCCGGACGAGCAGCGCGCCCTCCACTCGCTGCAGCAGAAAGCCATCGAGTCCTTCGTGCGACGGAACAGCTATGGAGATATATGTGAGTCTATTACTGTAAACTCAGGACAATCTTATTTACAGGTAGTCCTAGGATATATTTTCAGATTATATTAGCATTAGACCAATTTGGATAAAATTTTCAGTACTAACTTTAATAACATGATGTAGAACTAGTATGTATATCTGACCAAATTAAAGCGAAGTAGATGTTTAATTACTGGCAGCAAGAAAACTATATTTGGTGGCTGCTGTATATGTTAAATGTGTAGTTAGTAGATACAAGGTTAACCTCAAATCAGTTTAAAAATTATTTGAGAAATTGGTAGGTAGATAGATTACCATATTATTATGTAGGTTCACAATATTAATCAGTACCGTCCTATTCTTTAGCAATCGAATAATTACTGATCAATAGCTATAGTGGAAATCGTTTATGTAAAGTTTAGTTTAATATCATCATTAGTTGAATTACGAAACCGTACAAAAAAAATATCTCTAGCTAAAGAACGGCGTCGATCTTTCTCTACCGAATCGGTCTTTTGCAGGATTCCTTTTAGTGGCAACAGTATAGCAATAAATGAGTTCACACATGCATTCACTTTCAAGAAACGGGAAAAACCAAATCTTTCTGCAAACAGATCCGGTCGTAGTGCGAAATGTAAGATCGTTAGTATGGCGCATTCAGTACATGTGTTCACATCATGCACGCAGGGGTAGATTCGGTAATTTGCTAGGTCTTGAAACGAATACATCGTTGGTTCGCACAAGCTAAAAAAAGTCGGATGGTGTGTTCACACGGGATCTCGCCACGAGGCAGTCGGATATGGTCGGATGCAAGATGTGCTGTGTGAATACAACACTAGGTTTTTTAGATCCAATTAATATAAGATTCGCCAAAACGTTTACACGGTACCACGTTGAAATACCGTTGCCACTACGCCAAATCCTACAAAAAACCTATTCGGTAGATTGTATAGAAACCCTCGACGCCTTGTGAACGTACCGTAATACAGCCGATTTTGTATTCAACTTAAGGTAAGTCCTACAGCTTGGCTTCTATGTGTGTGCATGATAAATGTTCGCAATACCAACCAGTACACAATGTCCATTAACAAACTACACCAAAATAAATGACATTTTCCATTAAGACTCCAACAATTTGACAGGCATCAAACTATATAATTGCATATCAAAATTTCTTCTAAACAACATGTCCTCAAAATGATCACAGGTGAGAGGAAAGATCCATTGAATGCGCTGCAAGTCAAGAATGGCGGGTCCAAACGCAATGCTCTGCTGAAATGGTGCCAACAGAAGACCATGGGATACAACAACATTGATATTACTAATTTTAGGTGAGTTTATATGATAAAAGTTTAGCCAAATGATTTGAAAACTTAAGGGTTTAGTCTCTCTAGTCTTACAGCAATGAAAACCTTTTTAGTGAAGGCCTGTGTCCACAAAGGTTGTATACCACCTGGCATTTTCTTTGTCTAGCCTGCCCCTTAAACGCAAATAATATTTGAACCACGCAAGTGTAGCTAAGAAGGCAATCTTTTTAGTGAAGTTTTATGAGCAAATGGAAGCTTGATCAGATTAGCATCTATCTAACATTTTTATTATTTTTGCTATGCTGAGAATATATAAAGGCACCCAATCCCCCTTGAGCAAGAGTGGTGATTAATGTTCGTTTATTCTCCTTCTAAGAAGATAAGCTTTGTTCAGCACTAGGACAATGACAAGCTGATCATGCTACTGATTATGATTCTTCTTGGTCGCTGTCTCCATTACTGAAGGTTGTATCTAGTCTGGTTCACGCGTCACTTGATGCACAACCCTCATATAAACGTTTTCCTCTACGGTCTTTATGGCTTGTGGAACTGGTCGGTGTGATTTTTTACAGCATTTAGCCACTGGATTGGTACCGGAGCGACCACGAGGTCTTTTCCCGTTAACCTGACCAACAACCACAAGCTTCTCCAGATCGTTGGGGTCTCTACGCTGATTATGATTATTAACCTAAATTTATTTCTTCCAGTTCATCGTGGAACGACGGTATGGCCTTGTGTGCACTACTACACTCGTACCTGGGCGACAGTCGTATCTGCTACTCCTCGCTGTCTCCACACGACAAGAGGACCAACTTCTCCGTAGCGTTCGCCGCTGCAGAGTCCGTTGGGATACCTACAACACTGGTTTGTAACATACATTAATCTTCAATGCAGTTTCTCTCTATTTCTAAATATCTTGTACCTAGATGTTAAATTGCTTGTAAAATTTTCATCTCATTGTGGCTCACAGTTGTACAATAAACGCAATTAGAAAAAAAACTTGGCAACAATTATTATAGTCGATGGTTAAAATGGTCTCGAGTTTAGATAGATAAATATGTTAAATTGTAACTTGCAGTTGATACACAATAATTGTAAACTAGAAATTTTTAAACTTGCTGTACCTAATAATTAAGGTACCTATATTGCTAACGCGAGCGTTATTGTATACTTAACAGCTGACCCAGCAAACTTCGTACCGCCTCAATTATTTGCTCACCTTTTAAAGCTACCCTGGACTTCCGCGAATATTTGAAGACCAGAATTAGTGAAATCGGTTCAGCCGTTCTCGAGTTTCAGCGAGACTAACGAACGAAATTCATTTTAATTTAAATAGATAAACTGACACTACTACATCTTAAACTGTCAAACACCAAGCGGTCACCAGTCACCGCAACCGATTGTTCTATACTTGTGTCTATAATGACAGTACTCAACGTGTTAATTATTGATGAAATAATTAATGATCGTCAATCCATTAAAAAACATTAATCACGTTTTTTAATTTTCCTCTTTTTCTACAGAACATTCAAGACATGATCCAACAAGAGAGACCGGACTGGCAGCAAGTTATGGCGTATGTTACAAGCATTTACAAACATTTTGAAACGTAAACCTTATTGCAATAGATATAGAGAACAATTTACAACATCTTTATATTATAACTTTCGTGAGACATACTAAATTAAATATTATGGTTTTCGCCTTACTTACGTAATTATTTGACGAGGACCTGGTCTAGTTTCACGCAAGTCACTGCGAGTCGCGTAATGCTGCTCATGAATATGAGCCACTAGCGTGGCTGGCAACTAGTCGAGTTACTTATCAAACAATTACGGGAAAAAGCCGAAAACATATATTTAATTTACAACATCGTAGTATTATGAATTTATATGATATTCCATTTTTAATGAGAGCCCATATTAGCGCAAAACTTTGCGCAATTTAGCGCAACGGCCTTATTGTTTGCGCATTAGACTTGATTAAATATTCTGTATTACTTGTAGAGTGGAAAATGAATTGAATCTTTGCTTAAAATTATAATAAGATATTTTAAATGAATAATTACCCATATAAAACGAATATTCATGCCTTTTTAAAGTAGCCTTATGTACTGCGAAGAAACTTGCATTAGATATCACGTATGAATTAAAATAATCTTTGGAACAAAATTAGAACAATGCAAGTAGCTGTTATACATAAAAATATATATCTTTCGTAAAAAGGCTACATTTATATGCCTGGTATGTTGTATGCGAGCTAAAACTGTATCGAAAATAATATTGTAATTAACATTCCTAAAGAAAATTCATATTTTTGGACTGTATTGAAAAAGGGATAGTAAGGTAGATACTAAAACCTAGTAGAAAGTTAGCGGTTACGTGATTTAATGTGATATTGAACCTTAATCTTGTAGTCATTCGGTTTTAATTCATTCCATATTTTGTTCGTAGTTCAAACAGATATTTTTATCCCTTTATTTCTTTTATGAACGATCATAAGACAACCTACATTGTAATTAGTATGCGCACGTAACTTTTTGAGCGTGCTCGATTAGTTTCAAGCGGAAATCGGGACTCATAATCATGAGCAGAATGCGTGGTGACTAGTGAACGACGTCCCACGTTACATTAACAGTTACATGAGTAAGCCACACAATTTAAAGTCTTTTTAACTTCACAACAGAGTTCAATATCGTACAAAATCACAATAAGCTAAAAAGAGTGTGATACAAGTACTATATTGCCTTGTTTTGGCCTTGCGGGTTGTAGCCGTCTTTCCATTATAAAGACTGATACGATAATGTTAGGATGGAACCATCTCTAGAGAAGAATACGACCAGATAACTTAAATATATAACTTAAATCTGAGCTAATCGGTAGAAATATTGACGAATGTGGAACTTTTGATGTTATTTGGTAGAAGTTAGGGACATTTTCTGTCTAGTTTTGAGACAGAAAATATGCGAAACGTAATATACCTCTAGTATTGAAACTAAGAAACATTTCTCAATTCTTTGACCGTACTAAAATATGTAAGTAATATCGTCGTCTTTATAATATCATAGCTTACAAATATTTAAATATCGCGAAGTCAAAATGTAATCAAAAAGCCTTTTCTATTTTAAATAGTCGCAAAATGCATTATCATTAATCTTAATAAATTGGTCTCATTATACTTTTAAATACGCTGTTTAAAATAAAATTGGTATTTTTGAACTTACTAATTAAAAACATATTACTATAACTTATCTATGGCTATTAGAGTCAGCCAGCTATTTTAATCTAAAAGGCTCATATTCACATAAATAAAAAAGTAGATATTTAAAATATTAAATCGCGTCCCTATACATTTTGCCTTAAATATATCTGCTCCAATTTATTCATGAATTTCATTACAAAAAATTGCCTTTATAAATATAATGTTCATATAATATTCTCATATTTATATTTGTATGTGATTAGGCTTCGACCAATGTAACTTTATTCTTGTAAATTATAACTTAACTACTCGCCTTTTTGCCTAGAGCAAAATAGCATTATTAATGGAATTGAATGTGATAATGTCGATTTTGTATGAAACTACTAAATTTACATAGTAATTTCGTATTTTGTGTCTTTTTAATAAAAAAATATTTATAACTAATGTTGATTTGGTGATTAAATTAATCACTTTTTCGAACAAGTCTTCGACACTGAAAAAAAAGAAGTTATGTCAACCTCAACTTTGACAGGTGTCACATTTCAATGGATTCTGTTCCTCTATTTTTTAGGAGAAATAATAATATGGTATGCGGCTTCCTACACAATCGGCATTAAATAATTATTACCCATATTTATATTTACTAATCGTTTATTTATGTAACTTATTATGTAACCAAAATATAATCATTTTGTGAACGCGGCAAAATTATTAACCAATAGTCGTTAAGCGTTGCACGCATTCTCAATCACTATTGGTCACTATTTAACCAGCTTCTCTGATTTTTAAAGAATGTGATTACATTGTTTTTTCTGTGGATTTACCTTTACATCTAGTCCAAAACATTGGGTAGAAATAACTCATTATAGTTACTTTTATGAGGTACTGTTTTTTTTGCTCATTGTATATAGCGCTCATCTAGCATGATGTCTCTTTGTCCAATTGTCGCAGCTGTCTAAAAATTATGGCGAAAGATTTGGCCCCAGTTAATGAGACAGATCTCAATTTTCTTTCACGCCATCTAGTGACAAAAAATGGTAGTCCTTATTTGGAATGTTTGTTTGATAAATCCAGTAATCATTAAATCACGACGTATTTTATAGTAAATTATTATAGCATTTGATTTTGTGAGGTTATACTATTGTTTGGCTGAATGTTTTATAAACTTGTGAACGTGTTGTCACAGTTAAATATTCCGGTGTTGTCATACACACATTGTAGTACTTTATATTAAACGATATATTCGACTATATTATTAAACTATAGTAAATATTTATTTGAGGCTGTTTCGTCCGTGTGTGTATGATCAGACACAGTTGATATTAGTTTTTAAACTACTTTGTATATGCTGCCCTGTATTTTGTGGCACGGAGTGTAAAAATCTTCCATCTTGCAACACTGAAAGATGTTTTAAATTATTAGGGCAAATGACAAGATGTGTTTATGTATTTTAAGGTGAATTTAATCACTATCACTTCATCTAAATGGTATTATTAATATTTTTGACGTAATTGTACACTTGGTGCCACATAAAACAGGTCATTCTTTAGATTTAATTTAAGTAACGCGCTGTGTTACATTTCTGACTCGGTTGTTGATGCTTAGTAGTTTAATTACCTATTACATATTTTGAGATAATTGTATTTTTGTAAATATAGCTTTTAAATAAAGTTCCTGATTTATTATAATTTGTTTTGTTTTATTTTTATACTCACCCACTACCTTGTAGATTCTCGTTGAGATGGTCTAAAGTAGGTGCAAGAGCGTAACAGATCCATTCATGACGTTGCCCTTCATCAGTTCATCATATATGTTTAATTATGGAACCTTAAATCTTTATCTAAGGCTGTAGATGGACCGCATTTCAACTGCAATCCAACTGCAAATTGCAGTTCGGATACAGTTTGAATGCAGTTGACATGACTGAAATAGAACTGCAAGCGGACTGCTCGTTTGGTTTGCAGCCGTTTGGTCATGTCTGCAATAGAACTGCAATCGGACTACATGTATGCGGTCCGTCTGTCCAGAGCCGTAGCATCTAAATGATATTCTATTAAATAAAACGTGTGGTACTTTTTAATTACGTCATCATCATCTTATCAGCCACATTTGGCACAAGCCGTCCATTGCGCACTATTGAGCGTGGCGCTCTCTCAGCGACTTCTAGGTCGGATGTTTCCTTTTACCTTTTATTAAACACCCTGTCCAGCCCTAGGCGACACCTCTATATGGGCCTCTTGTCTGTCGATATATGAGATACAATAGAAAACACATTGTGTCTCACGTACATCTGCGTTCTGACAAATCACAGGTTAATGCAACTTTAATGTGTCAATAGTAATTATTCGTACTACAACAAGTTTCGTTTTATGTTCCAGATGGGTTTAGGTTCTTGTGCTCAATATATTTTTAAAGTGGCCCACTCCCCTTACTTATTATACTCTTTGGGCCCACTTCGCCCAAGGTCATTCCCATCCAACCCATCCCTCAGATAGAAAATGTATGTATGGGGGTCTACGAAAATATTGTCATTGCTAGCTTTTGATATATTTCAAATATTACTTTCGGTTTTCGTACAAAACTGTCTAAGATTTGTTAAATAAGGCGTATACCAGACCAAAGCCGGTCCCGACCTATCCCTCAATAAATTAATATGTCTCTCAGATTACAGAATATAAAAAAAATATGGACATTTTTACAAAAAAAAAAATAAGCTTCCAAAAAGATGTCAAAATTTAAAATACGAGGCATCTCTGTTTATTATTTGGAAAACATACACTTTTACTTGCACACCACTGCCAGTGCCCATGAGTGAAAGCATTTATATATCTCTCAAAAATAACTTAGGAGGAACTTTCCTATAAGATTTCGTAAACTTATTAGTCCGAAGCACATGGTTTTGCAATCAATTGTTTTTAATATCCTGACCTCTTATAGATAAAATAAAAATGTGATAAACTACAACTGGAAACTTAAAAGATCAAGGTTAATAAAACAATGATTAAAATAAAAACAATTTTATTATTTACAATATCATACAGCGTTATCAAATAATTGGCCAATTTTAATTAATAACAATTTTTATGTACAAATATAGAATTATAACTATCATGTGATATGCTAAATTAATTAGAATGTATGGCTTTCTCACGTAAGACTTCGAGGAGACTCCTCAACTAATTTCGAAGCAAAAACGGGGCTCTTAATCACGCAGTATGCGCGACGACAAACTTATCGAGCGACCTCGGAAAGTTACGAGGATAAGCAGTGTATTATAATTATATTAATAATAATATAGATATCATCTTTGGTAAGACTAGCCTAAAATATCGTTAACAATAAAACTTAAATTTCAAAAATACCTAAATCTAGGTTTTAGGGTGTCCTTTTCGAAGAGGTGGGGTTAAAAATAAAGATGTTTTATAGAAGACACTCGACGACAAACGGTTGTACTACAAATGTGCTTATTTAAAAAATATGTATGTCTATGCCAATCATGCGAAGGCCATTAGTTAATTTTAAAAAAGTTTAAGTAAAAAAAACAATAAATCACAATAACAGTTTAGTAATTTTTAAATCATAATGCATTACATTTTACACCCACAGTCAAAAGCTTAAAGAACAATTTCGTCTACCACTCCAAAACTCCAGGGATGTACTTGTCAATCAATTTCTCGTAGTATGGCCAGAGAGCTTCGATGTCGGGGATACCAGCACTCTTGGTGTACAGGTCATATTTACTGCAAGTAAAAATAAAAAAAAATATTAGTAAAACATTTAAGGTCTGAAGGAAATTCATTTTGACGAGATTGATAAATTATTTTTACATTTTCGATGCAGCACTTAGGTATGTAGTTCCTAATCGATATTCTGTATCTTCTTATTTATAAAAAAATGAATCCCTTTTTCCCTTGGTCACGGCATCACGCGAGAATGGCTGGACCGATTTCACTAATTCTTTTTTTGTTATTATTAGGTTCTCAAGACAGAAAATGTCCTGAAAATCCTACGAGAACAGGAGAAAATGGGATTGCGCGTACGAAGTAGATACTAGTTCAGAAGCTAGTATAATGTGAAAACAAAATGATTGCTATACCTACTATCTATCATTATGTATTTTGCAATTAAAAAAAAACAAACATATTTTGAACTTAAAGACATGGAAACGTTCTTCTTCATTCCATTTCTTTCACTTTCAGATAAATATGCAAATCGTATTAACTACTTATCCAAACGAAACAATAAAACCTACATCAATATCATGCAAGCAGTTTTTTGGGACCTTCTCAGATTGTAGATTCGTACCTGCATCTATCGTGTACCCGAATCGTGTCTACAAATTACAATGGAGTAACTTCCATCTAATAACTAAAGAATATAGAGGTAATTATATATCTCTCTTACTTGAACTCCAGTACATGTTTCATGATCTCTTCGTCTCCCTTCTTCATAAGGTGTTTGTAGTCGCCGCCCGCGTGCCACGGGTACAGAGAGTGGTATCTGATGGACAGAAAAAAGTAAAGTAAATATATAATGAATACAATATTAATTTTAAATGTGTGTAGCAAAGATAAATGAGGGCTCCACAATGATTTCATCACCCCTTACATATGTAACAGGCAATATTGCCTTTTAACGATATAAGTACTCACGGCCACACATCAATCTATACAAAACCAGTTTATCCTGGTGTCGCGTCGCATCATCTTTCCGCACATTTAACTTTCAGTTTATACTGGTTATGTAAAGCTCGATGTGTAGCCGTGTGCACCTGCAACAGTATATTATTGAAAAAAAAGTATCTCAGATTGACTGTTTGTAACGATTCTCATCTTAGAATACAATAGAATAATTTATTTGCATTGAATGTAGGCACAAAGGTCTTACAAAGTTATATCGTCCTGGTACATTCTACCATCTGGCATCTTGCTGTGTCAATACATTTTTGAACCTTAAAAGGATATTGAACATTCTCTGTATAAGAATCTTCAAATAATGTTAACTAGAAGTAGATAGGAATAAACAGCACTAACCTGATCATGAAGAGCCCTTCCTTAGGGAACTTGGATTTGTTGTGCACGAGCACCCGGTACAGGTACTCGTCGTGACCCCACGAGATCATCAGGTTCTCCAGCCCGCAGTTTGGCTTGTACATGCCGCATTCAGTGCTGTAATGATGTTATCAAGTTAATATGTGATTAAGGAATGTAGTGCCTAAATAGTTTTATACTCAACTTATACTAGATCGCTTTTGTCAAGTCTGCAATGAGGAAAATACGGTTGAGACTTGTGAGCCTATTGCCTTATAACACACTCAATTTAATACTATACAAAATAGCTAAATATAAGCTCATCTTTTTAAAGGATTGGGCAACAAACGAGCAGATATATTACCACGGGTAAGCGATCAATGTTGCCTATGGACGCCTGCATCAGTAGCGAAATAGTGCAAAAATGTCAATCTTATAAATATAAAAATGGATCCCTTTTTCCATTGGTCACGGCATCACGCGCGAATAGTTGGACGGACAGATTTCACTAATTCTTTTTGGTTGTATTTGTTATTATTAGGGCAGAAAAAGTCCTGAAAATCCTATGGGAACGAAAGAAAACGGGATTGCACGTACGGGGCAGAAGCTAGTAATGAATTAATTGCGAGCGACTTGGTAGTCCTACAAAGCACCTAATTATTGCTGAATTATTCGTACAAATTCTATTGCAAGATTTATCATTTTGAAATCAAATTATGCATGGTCTTCTACTGACTTGTACTTGGGGTTGTATGTGTCAGGGTTGTCCTTGAAGCTGTCATCTCCATAAACGATCGATTTCCCCCACTTGCAGCCCACGGGGAATGTGTCTCCCACCACACACCACTGAGGCTCGCCGTAGAATGCCATCACCTGGACAATCGGAAAAATGATTAATGTCCTTGTACACCATTTAACTATAAAAAAAGTCACAAGTTCTCACAGACAACATAGAATTACCTCACAACAAGGCTCGACAACCTTTGAATGCATTTTTTTTTAATTAGATAATTTGGTCATATCATTATTGTGTGTAATGGCGGCGCAAATTGTTTCTGCGATCAGTGTAATGGCATGATCATTAAGATTTTTGGCCAATTGCCCTAAAATGGTGAATGACCACGGTTTTAACAAGATTTTTCCTATGTAAAATTGGATCAAAGATATATTTACCCGACTGTAGGAAGGGTATCGTCTATCGTTTTTCTCATAACGATCTTATTGCAATTTAAAATTCTGTTTTGCGCAAAAATTTAAAAGCAACATTAATACTACAGTAAATCTGTGAACTCAAGAGAAAAGCGCATACCTTTCCAAGATCATGAATTAATCCAATAAGATGGAACCAGTCCTGGTCAGGATGCTCCTCCCGGATCCTCTCAGCCGTTTGGAAGGCGTGCACAATGTTTGGCAGGTCGGTGTCAGGGTCCGACTCATCCACCAGCTCGTTCAACTTGATGAGGGCATCTTTGATAGTACTCTTGAAGTGGTTAAATTGCAGCCAGTCTGCCATGCGACCTGTGAATTTTTTTATGTTATAAGCCGGTCAACGAGCAGACGGATCACCTGATTATCACGAATCTGGGAAGCGATCAGTACCGCCCACGGACACCCGAAACACCAGAGACGTTACAAGCTTGTTGCCAGCATTTTGAAGA